CCTTGATGTGAGCGCCCATCCAACCATATCAAGGTGGCGTTTAACATGCAAGGAGGTGTACACATGGGTCTCCCAGGTCATAATTGTGCTTGTTTTACTGTACCAATCCGGGAGCCGTCTAGAGACTTTTGAGGTGGTACGCAAGTGATCGGTATTTACTTGCGGGAGGTGGTGGGCGGCGGCGTAGGTGCCTTCAACCTTACACGGGTATATGTATTTCAGACACAAATGCGAACGCAAAGGACTGGGGGCACTAATTATGGATTCGCCAGTCTTGAGTGTTGCTGCTGCAAACTAATTATTCTAAGTAACAGTGTTTAGTTCCAATACTACCGAGATTAACAAACAATCCCTAGCTAAGCATAAAATAAAAATATTTTTTCATTTTAAATAAGAACTATTTTTTGGCATCTTTTGTTATTGATTAGCAGCTTTACTGTTGTTTTATTGCACTGAAATTATCCTTAGAAGACCTACCAACTCTAGTAGGTCTTTTGACCGAACAAAAGACGGTGGTGGGTCTTGCTTCTCGCCCATGTTTTCTTCCAGTCTTGTTAAGTCTTTGGTAGTGAAGGAATATATTTACTTGCATCTGAAAACATTGAAAAGGCTGTACAATAATCCAAAATGCAACGTGTGTTTAAATTAGTTTTGAAATTATATTGGCTCATTGTAGAAGATGTTGTATGAAACGAGAATGGTTGTTCCTCTATCAGAGAACGAATCTACTCGTATGTTTATTTTGTTTCTGCTTAATTAGCGCAGTTGATCTGTCCAAGGAATCTCTTGATAGGCGTGACTGCGAGAATCTGATTCAATTATGCTTGGAGGTGAAGCAGGAGGTAATGGCTTTTTTTCTGCCGTACTACCTCGTATCTTAGTGTCATGTGTGCTACCAGGCCACAGGACTTGCTAAGAGCCCAAACTACCACCGTGTATCGACTGTTGCTGAGCAGCTCCATCAGCATTTATTTGAGGTGCATGAGTTACTTAGTGAAACAGAGTTTGTTAACCAGCTGAAGTACATTTATTCTTTCGTTGGGAAATACGACTATCAAAATGTTCGAGCAAACGGCTTTCGGACTTTTCTTACCATCGTATCTACTTGTCTAATCAAGATTCTCACTCTCCTTCGTAATCTGGACCGTCGTACTTTGTCTGTCTGGTAGGTATTTTACTCCGATTCATTAACAAATGCGATTTTTGTCATTCTCGCATGTCATCTTCATTACACCTAGGCCAAATGCTATAAAAGAGTCTCTCGTGGCCTACTTGCGGTGTCTTGAAGAACTTGCTTTCTGTATTCTCTTACTCTGTGAATTTCCCAAATTTTCTGCTCCATCGGATACTCTATTTCCTCAACTACACTATGCTAATCTCTTGATTGCTCAATTCCCAACCCACGACAACCTTGGTCCTCCATTCCGCATCGCAAAACCTGTGAGAGACATCTCCTGCCTAAATATATCAACTTCGTCGAATACCACCCCCGCTCGCTACAATGATCTCATCGACTACTTTGATCTGATTCATCAGGATGTCTTCTACGGTCGAGCAATAGCATTTTATTTGGATACTTCTGCTCAGAACTTCTTCAAAATGCTTGGTAGCATTATGGCTGGATTTGCCGATAGCTATCAGGTGAATCTTTTGTCACTGGGTCATCTGGATTGTAGTTGGCTACCGGTCATTAGTATGAGTCTTCTGACCTCGATCACCCCTATGGATGCTTGATTCGTCCGCCGAGGTAGTCGTATAACAATAATTATATCTATGTTATATTTCTTATGTCTAGTGCGCAATGGAGGGAATACCTGGCTTTATGAATGCTGTTTATCGCAGCGTTACATCGTTTCTCTCGCCTGAGGAACGTGGCTGTCGAATCGCTCATATCACTCGTTCGGCAGACGTACAATTTTGCAAGCGCTTTTGGAATCTTGCAGAGAATCGCCTCCTCATCGATGTGCCCCGGCTCCTTCTTCCTCAGATGGCCGTTTCTCACACTTTCAATCTACCAAACGAGGCTGTGATCTTAGAAACGGACCCAAGTGAGCAGCGGTCAGAACTAATTGTTCTATTTCCTGAAGTTATAGATATCAGTAACAGATACCTTTCTCATAAGATGATGGTGGGCCTTCTACGATAACTATTAATCCTCCCAGTGGATATAAAGGCATCCAAGTGCGTTTGATTAGCAAGTTTCGGCGCAGAGGCATGGCGTGGGCTTTGAGTCAGGGTCAAGAGAGTGGAAAGACTAATAAGGAGTCTATGAAGAAATCACCGTTGAGGTCATCTTCAGCATCCTCAGCAGCCTCCAACGCCCATTTGGAGACAGGTCCTTCCTCCTACCTTCTTGTGCACATCCACGGTGGCGGATTTATCGCCCTCTCTTCAGAG